ATTAACAGAAAGAGTTACTTATAATTAACAGAAAAATAGAACATCTACAGGCAGCATAAAAATTTCACATTTGACTTAATTAATGCACAAAGACAAAGGCAAAAGCGAAAACATTAATTGTAAAACAGACAACACACAAATGACAGCAGACTTGAAAGATTATTTTGTGTCAGATCACTCAATGATGCAAAAGACCTACAAAAAACTTACTTGTTGCAATATCTGAACTTTGAAGCTTGGCTTCTGCATTTGTGGCTTTTCCTGTTGCTTCTATGTAAGAATACATATTTCCTTCATAAGCAGACAATGGCCCTGTTCCACGTGATGGTGTACCTCCCTGAAATAGCACATCATAAACAGTTTATTGTGTATCAAATTTACAACACTTATTACTAAAAAGAGTAAACATATAAATACCATTCCTGTAATCTAGTATCATACTTAATTATTACATAATTGTCTAGTTTTAATTTTTGAAATAATGATCTAGTTTTACTTACTCGTCTTATCAAGTTTAACATTGATATAATTTGGTTTGTTTGAAACGTGTTATTTGATTGGATTAAAAAATACTATGTATCATATAACCTGGGTTTCCTACGTCACAATGACATACGTCAAAAATGTGCCAATTCTTAGACGTTTTCATAATTTTTTTTTACTAATTTTATCTGGTTTTAAATATGAATTAGTCCTGTATCACTTACTGATCTTACTGTCCAGAATTATAAACTGTTATTGTCTTCTAGATAGCAATACTTATATTAACATTCAGTATTGCTTACTGATATTTAATCACCTCGTATTAATGATAACTTGATAGAGTTTTTGCCAGTATTACTTATTTATATTAACATCCAATATCACTAACTGTTATTATAGCTCAATATTACTTACTTTTCTTATCCAGTATTACCGATATAATGGACATAAATTTACTTATCGATCTTATCCAGTATTACTGATATAATGGACCTGTATTATTTACTGATCTTATCCAGTATTAATTATATATTGGACTTGTATTACTTATTGATCTTATCCAGTATTACTGATATAATGGGCCTGTATTACTAACTGATCTTATCCAGTATTACTGATACAATAGACCTGTATTACTTACTGATCTTATCCAGTATTACTGATATAATGGACCTGTATAACTTACTGATCTTATCCAGTATTACTGATACAATGGACCTGTATTACTTACTGATTTAATCGTCCAGTCAAAAGAATCTGAACTTATATCTTGCAAGAAGCAAGTATTATCTTCAAAGGTACAGTGGAGGTTTGGCTGAGTAGTTGTAGGCCTAGTTGTAATTGGTTGTGACGTCGATTGACGAGTTGTTGGTTGTTGTGTTGATGGCTGTAGCGTTGTTGGTTGGCGAGTTGTTGGTGCCTGCGTTGTTGGCGCTCGTGTAGTTGGCGCTTGCGTTGTTGGCTGTTGTGTTGTTGGTTGGCGGGTTGTTGGTTGTTGAGTAGTTGGTGCTTGTGTACTTGGTTGTGGAGTTGATGGTTGACCTTAATATAATATATCTTAGAAATTGATATCTATATTTTTTTCAGACCTCATCTTATCTAATACACCATTAAATAGTAAAAGTGACATTAAAAAATAATATACCTTTATATTTGCAAGTAGTTTTTTTTTCATTTGAAATATTTTGAATTTTACCAATTAAAGTAAAAATATTTTATATACAGCATAATACTTGGAGAGAAAAAAATGACATACACGTAATAATAGATCTATGCGGTTTGGTAAGATTTTTCAGGTTTCAAAATAAGTTGGATTTTATCAAGTGAGATATGATAAATAAGTAAACAGAAACCTACCACAAGGTGTTGGCGATAATACAACGTCATCTATGGCAATGTCACCTTGCCATGAACTCCCACGGATAGCTTCAAATGTGACCTAATTAATCAAACGAATCTTGTCTTGAATTTCATAGATTGTTTAGTGACCGCTACAAAAATGGTCATTACACAACTGAGTAAATACCCTTTTCACTCATTTTAAAAGTGAAAGTAGGCCACGAACTTATTTTTTCTATGCAAAATCAGTTTATATATAGGTTACATCTATACATATTTTCAAATCTGTGTTGTATTTTAATGTTTCAGTTTGCGACGTTTTGCTGACAATGCATTCCAAGCGCTGTTCTTTACAGAAAAAAACCCATCCCAATCGCAATATTTTCACACATATGTGTTAATTGATATTCAGATATTTAATTATAACAAGTACATGTAGAGTAAAAACATCAGTTGTTGAATAAATGGCCACGAGTGTGCCGTTTTAAATGACAGATGACTCGAAGCCATTGTTAAACAAACCTGGCTTTTATTACTTTAGGAACGATTGGAGTAAAACGTTTGGCAGTGATGAAATCCAAATTAAAAAAAAGAAATATATAGAACTGAATATTTGTGGGTTTTTTTCCCAAATATATCGCAATAGTATGGATATATCTATAAAGCTGTTTATTGACTTATTTACCGGTGATCCGCCGTAACAATCATTCAAAAATGGGGAAGCTCACAAACGTAAGTCATGTACACACTGAATTTAGCGGTTTTTATTATGGTGAATTTTTAAAAATTGCCAAAATAGGCCAAAATTACATCCCCACCAAAAAAAACGGTACAAAAAAATAGAAATTGAGAAAGGGCCTTTCCTTTTTTATTTATTTGGTTGAGTTATTGTTTAACGCAAAGTTGGCAATTTGTTCGGCATATTTTGGTCCACATTTCTGCTTCAAAGTTATTAACATAAAGAGCCATAGCGCATTTCATAGGCATTTTCGCTTACTCTAGTAGTGATATTTTAGACCGTTTAACAAACCTTCGTCATGCAGTCTTAATTTCTACATGCGTTAAACCAAATCACTCAAAAATGATATTTAATATTATAGTAGGAATATGAAAATTATTGAGTTAATTAAGTTCACCCTGAACCAGAAAATTAAATAACTTCTGAATAATTTTATTTGTGGCTGCACTTCATTATATTTAGATAATTTTGGTTTAAATAAAGGTAGTTTTCATACTAAAAAATGATTTTAAAAAGTAATTTAATTTCCCCCCCCTAATCTTAAGATTTAGGGATCTGTCTTAAAGAGCCATAGCTGCCTTACCGAGGACACGACCGACTAAAGAGTTTAAAAGGAAATCACTTACAGTGTACAAGTATCTCTATAGATATACCTTTGTAAATACATTGTATATAATAGAATTCGTGGTCCAGTGTTGTATTTTCATAGTTCCAAGTACATGTATGTCCATCGACAATTTATTTATTCAGTATTTTAATTCTGAGAAAAAAGATTTTAAAAATCCAATAAAAGTGTAAAATGTTTTTAAAACTTTTTGAAATTATGTAAGCATGTGTATTATAAAGCACAATATACTCAAAGAAAAAAGTACATATGGAAAAAAAAATGTGGATGTTGAGCTCGCAATCACCATACTAGTATTTACGATTAAGCAATCATACCACTTCGCCAAGCCATTTAACTCAGGTGGATAAAAAGACAGATTTCCAAATCGTAAGATAATATGGGAAGCAAATTGAACAAATATTTTCATCATTTTCAATACGATCGAAGACCGTCTTAAAACAAAATTATTCAAATATAATGAAGTGTAGTCATATCCAAATAAAATTATTCAAAAGTTGTTTTTCTGGTTAAGGGTGGCCTTTGGCAGCAGTTGGTCATCAATTAGTGGATACCTCATTATCTACTACATGTATATAATCCATACAAACTGCTTGAACAGTTTTCAGATTTATCATATGAGGGAACTATAAACATTAAAACATCATTGTGTGCTTTCAGGTTCTATAAATGTATACACTAAGATAAAATGACAAATGTTTGGTTAAACAATATATTTGAGAAATCACTACTAGAGTAGGTGAAAATGCCTATCAAACGTGCTCTGGCTCTTTATCTATTCAATATCAATGACTTGATTTTAATGCTAGAGTGTAAAATTGGTGATTGCTTGTAAGAGTCCCGCATTTTTTCTATTCTTTTAATTTTTTCTTAATGCATCTTTTCTACGTTTCTCTTCATTATACTATACATAATTTCAGAATTTATAATATACAAATTACAACTTGAAATTATCTAAGGAAAAAACAGTCCTTAACCAATTTATTGACGCAAATTCATGGCTTCTTTTATATTTCATTGATTTTCTAAAATTAATCTATTGTTTCAGAATAAGAGTACATGTATTTAAGGGGGCCGACTATGGTTTTATTGCCTGAAAACTACAATAGCAAAACTCTTCATTTTTAAACAATATATAACTGACATTAACTTTAGTGTACATGCAAAGTTTGGGCGAAATCTACCGTCCAGGTATTTCTAAGGGACCATCTCAAAATACAGGTACATTTACTATAGGATTATATAGGAAAGTGCCAATTTTTAGCACTTTATAGCAAATTATACAAATACTACAATAGTGTTTTTGCTCAAACTATACCATATGATGAGTAAAACTATCTTGTACATTATGTGTAAGAAACACAAAATTCTACCGTCTTGTTACCAGAGGGGGGCATCTCAAAAGGCCAAAAATTAACGAATTTTTCTGTTATTATAGAGTGCTACAAAATATGACGCATGCATAGGATTTACACAAAAAATAATAAAATATGATGAAGAGATTATCAAAATCCCGTGTAGTAAACTTCAAGAGCGTATGTTTATTACTTTTTATTTAATAACATTTTTATTACCTCTTTCTTTAAGAGCTTCAGTTTATCATAACGTCAAAAACACACTATAACGACGTCAACCTACCTATCAGTTGCAAAATCGGTCAAAAATTCAGTTATGTAAAATTTTAATTACATTTTAGACCTGTAAGTGCTTAATTTTGTTTAATTTTATTAATCAAGTGAAAAAAGTTGCTTTAAAACAGTAAATACTCTTCATTTTACTATGATGAGCGAAATATTGCGCAATGAAAACTATATTTATTATATGTAAATAGAAATACTTTTTCTGTTGAGTAGAGAATTAATTTTTTATTCATTCTTGGATTAATACTTGACTGTGTTTTTATTGAAATCTTGCAAAATTCATCAAAGAGGAGAATTATTTAGATTATTTAGATTATACATGCCATCGATATTGTTTTCAGTATAATCCAATTATTTTACCTTGTAATTGACAGTGTCAGCAATATCAACTTCAGCTTTAATCCACTGGTCTCCCTGACTTCCCGATTTGGTCCAGACCTGGTTTCCATTTCGTAAAATATTCAGTGTCCCAACAGAACCACCACTCATGTGATACCAGAAAGACATGCATCTTGGGATAGCTTAAGATAACAGAAAGTGCAAAATAATGTATATCCGAATCCTGTTTATTTTTAATATGATAAATATTGTAACATCAAACATTAAAAATAACTGTTTCATTTGATGCGCCATAATTTTAATCTAGGAAATTGAAGTAACAATACTGAGAATATACAATTGGAAGATGCATGTAATCGCCGTATTTTTATTTTAACATTTTTGACTTAAATACTTAAATAGTTTCTCTACAGAACCTTTGTATACCTAAAATTAAAGGCGTTTCAAGTTGAAATTTATCTCCTTGTGCTACGGGGCTGGAAACCTCTGCGTACATATATTGTGTTCCCACCTTAGCTCCAGATGGACCCGTCCCGCTAGACGGCGTGCTACCCTGTAAAATGGAAACGTCAGAGAATTTTGTCAAACAGGTATGACAGCTCGTCTGCAACTTCATGAGGTCTTCAGATGTAATTTAAACAAATTTAAGAAAAAAAACTTAACGAAAAAATATCTCGGCTACTGATGATTTATGAACATACAATGTAATTCTAGATTTTTCAATTGAAATACCTTTGTCCAATTTAGTTAAATACAATATTTTTAATAAAATTTAACTATAACGCAGTTTAAAAAATATGTATTGCAAGGTAGCATATGCAAATATAAACTAGTACTGAAACTTAGGTGAACTCGCATTTCCATTTTTTAAAATTCTATGTGAAGATTATCCAGCAGAAATCCATTAGAATTTTAAGCAACAACTGAATCATAAAGTACATGTACATGTATACTGAAATAATCATTAGTTTACCGAGCGTATGATCCAGTCATAGTTGTTTGTAGGGGAATTTGTAAAGAGACAGTTTTGGCCAGCTTCAAATCCACAGGAAATCGTATCAGTGCCTAAAAAAATAAAACTGTAACACTATACAAGATTTATATAACGATAAAATACGACAGAATAAATTGATAGATGAAGCGATTTTTCCTAAAACATGTAAAATAGAATGATCAGGTATTGACAAGATATAAATTGTCTGGTACTCTTTAACAGTTTTAAAATAGGTTTAAATGATTGTCTGTACTTATCACAATTAACAATTAAAACAATAGTGTTTGATATTTGTAAACCAATATTATTTTATTAACATTGACCTTTGTTGGTCTTTGGGGAACATTTGGAGATATAGGTATGTTCATATTTGCCTCATTCTTTATTATCAATTTATAAGTTAACCTGACCACCGCCGAAAGATGGGTGAAATATTGCCAACTCGATCGTAAATAGTAATCTTTCTGATCAGGGCTTTGAAAAATTATGAGGAAACTCTTTGAATGATATGAAATGTCGTGTACCATTCTCTTAATCAAACTTCCAGTACATGTTTTTAAAATTTATTTATTATCTTTAGATAATATAGACCTACAAAGGCTAAAACCTTGATCAAGTGGTTCAGACTTTGGGAACTTCAAAAATCAAGTTAAAATAACCTTAAAAAGAATCAAATATAAAGTATTATATGAGGAAAAAAATATTTTCAATATGCAATATTAATCTAACAATTTTCTCCATTAACCTTGAATGCAATTTTAATTATCACTGCATATTTAGAATTGGGAAAAGAAACTATTAATTCGTAAAATCTGAGCCAAGAGAAAAGACAGATTAATGAAAACTATTTCTCTTTTTTCAAACTGTTCTTCCAAAATAATGTTATCTCTTTTTTCATATTTTTTATGAAGAAAAAGAAAAAAATAAATTTCACCCCTAAACTGCGACTCGGTTTGACAATAGTTTTCTTGGGGTGGGAATTTTCAATGTTTCACTCGATCAACTACAGTAAAAACCCGTTTAGTTCGAACACGGATATAGCGAATTCACGGATATGGGTGATTCCACAAATTTGAGACAATTTTCATAAGTGAAGAAGTTAATATTGCTCTTTCTTCTTTCTCTGTCCAACATGGTTCAATGAGCTTTGTAATACATATGCTCTTTAATTTCAACGATAGTCACAAGTCAAAGTAAACAGATTATATTAAATTTAAGAAGTAAAATCAATTTTTTTAAGCTTTGGTCATGACCGCAACGATATAAAAACATGCAATTTCTATTTTTCTATATATTGAAAAGAAATATTTTTTTAACCAATGAAAAGAAAATGAAAAGAAAATTAATATTCTGTAATATAATAGAAGTTGTAGAATTTTGGAATACGTTTCTATTCTGTGGAGGGCCTAATAAATCGCCAGATGTAAAAATATGCTATTTGTGTAATTACAAAATCAATTTTTTTTTGTTGTAAAAAACAAATATTAATACGTTTTAGGAAGTAACAGGCATAAAATGAAGTAAATTATATCACTAAGGCTTATTTTTTACTAATAATTAATAGCATGTAATTTTATTTGCACGAAAGACTGGTGCTGTGGTCATGACTAAAATTTTCGGTCATGACATCAAATTTTTGGTCATGACATTGCTTTATTATACATATAAAAATGTCAATGAATAATTCTAAAATAAAAACACCAAAACACCAATAAAAATAAAAATAAAAAACAATGTAACATCAAATAAATTAAACGGTCTAATTATGCATGATTTTTGTCTGTCAAGTCCAACTCTTTACGAAACACTAAAAAAATCAATTGTTTTATGCTTTATTAAATAAAAAATCAATTATAATGTTGATAGTTTAAAATATTTAATGATATATGTTGTTGTTTTAGCAAAATTAATAAATGATAAAAAGTTTGAGTTGAAAATAGTAACTATTGTCATGACCACAACATATTAAGTTGCGGTAAATGACAGTTTTGGTCATGACATAAATTGAGTTATTACCTGATCAGCTCACCATACGTACTATATGGATGGTACAATGATGTACATAACATTGCAGAAACATTAAATAAAGCCGTTTGGAACAAGTTTACTATGTGAAATATTTGTATTATCGTGTTTTAGAACATTCGGTCATGATCAACAATAAAGGAACTAATAAAAAAAGATACTTACAACGGGATTTTTCTTCTAAACCTTTTGACCTACACTGTTCCTTTCCTGCCATCAAAACTTTTAGTAGTTTATAAGCCTTCTTTTATGGAGAGTAATAATTCAAAGGGCAGTAACTCTATTTTAAATAGCAGATTGCACAATCGTTTCGGTCATGACGAAATATTAAGTGACACAAAAATATACAACAAAATTTTAGTAGTATGATCAAAAAACCTACTGAATAAAAAAAGAAACATACTTAGGAGAAATGTATTGGAATAAATAAGACAAATAAAACTGAAAAACAAAAATTAGATGCGTCAAAAAACCCACAGAAAGTGGAAAGTCTATCATAGGGACACTGATATACGTCATTGATACATGATACAGTGACATTATTTTTCATTATTAAAATCAAACTTTAACATTTTTGCACATCAATACAAAAAAGAATTTCTTTTTATTTAATATTTAGAACAAAATCAGGGAAATTTTGTTATATTTAACAGGAAGATTAGAGTGTTTTTCATGAGTGACACAATTTGTCTCAAAATTGTGGAATCACCCACATAGCGAAGTTTTTTTGG